TGGCCTGCAAGAAGGCCTGCATGCTGGGCCAGTGAGGGCCTGCGAGGGCGCGGACGCGGGGCCACCGCTGCTCTGAGGACAGGAGAGGCCCCTGGGGCCCAGCAGGCCCCTTCTCCAGTTCAGTCGCTGGGCAGCCCTGGTCCTGGCTGGAGTGGCCTCCAGGAGAAGCAGGCACAGAGACTCCAACGCCCCTGCCTACCTTGGCTGGAATGCAGTACCGGGAAGGAAGTGGATCACTCAGGACTTTGCAGTTCCACACTGGACCCTCTGGCTGCCTGCCTGGCCTGGGAAGGAAGTGTTCCCAGGGCCTGGCCTGGGAAGGGGTCCTCAGGATCCTGCCATAGCCTGGACCCTCTGGGGCCCACCCTGCAGAGGGAGGCATCTCCAGAAGCTTGGCCAGACTGACCAGGGCCCAAGAGGAATGAGGGCTGCTGTCACCTGGGTTGGTGTGTTCTTACCTGTGGCTTGGGAGACCTGGGACCCATGGAAAAGAGCCCAGCAGCATGGAAGTGCTTCCCAGGCTGCAGGTGTCCCCAGGAGGCCTTTTCCTTCACATAGCCCTAGCCCTGGGTGGCTTGTGGTTCTGGCATGGCTCCGTGGGCCCCCACTTGGGGACCTATTGGGACCCCCATCTGCACTCAGGCAGGGTGGTGTCCTTGGCTCTTACACTGGCCCAGAAAGATGCTCCCAGCAGCATCCTGCACACCTCAGAGGGCCTCCCCAGACCCGTCTCTTGTCCTCATCAGGACACCCATGTTCCACATGACTCTCTCCATGCACAGACTGGGCCTGTGGGGTTTTTAATTAAAAATTTTAAAAGGTTGAATCATGCCTGTGCCTTGTTCTCTGACCTCTGCACACAAGAGCCATGGTGTAGTAACTGAAGAGACAGTGTCATGCTCACAGCTTCTGTAGACCTCAGCGTCTCTTGGTACTTGCTGTCCCCTCCACCCAGCTGTGCCCAGAGGAACAGGGAGTGTAACAGGCCAGGCCATGGGAATGGGAACAGGGTGGCCTGGGGGAGCTGGGCTACTGAAGAACAGCACTGCACAGGGCCTGGTCCCTGCCTGCCTGTGGAATGGGGTTGGGTGCCAGGCAGAGCCCCTCAGGCTGGGGACAGTCTAGTCCTGGTGCAGGTTGCAGCAAGACCCTGTCCCCTCAGAGTCATGCAGATATGACATTGAGTGGGGACCAGGGGTACAAGATGTCCTGCCATTTCTAAGGGCCTTCCAGAGGCTCCTAAAGGTGAAATACCAAGTGAGGGTCTGATGCCATCTTTATGCAGCGTGAACACAGTGACACATAAACACATCCTCATGTGACTTCAGTGCATGTTTGTTTCTCCATGTGAGAAACTACCCACCAAGTCAGGAACAATGGTGCTGTGTTTCATTCAGGATCTAACCCAGAGGTGCAATTGTGGAAAATCACATTCTCCTGAAATCTTCCATTTTCTGGTACTTTACATGTGGAATTACTTCTGATCCTCCTGAGTTTAAATTCCTTGTTGTAAAGTGATGCAAACATCTGGTTACTTCATTCTAGGGATGCGTGAGCTCATGTTTGAGTCTTCATATCGGGATGGATTGTTATATTCATGTCTTCCAACTTCTTCATATTGCAATTACAGCATTCCATTGATTTTTCAATGGTAGGTTATCAACCTGCATTGAAATGAATGAGAGTAAAGGATGTCTTATAAAAAATACTTACACAAAAGGGGACCTTGTTTCCACTTAGCCTGCTGCTGGGCCTTGCAGAGCAGGAGAGGGGTGAGATGTCCTAGCTGCTAGCCCTGACCCTACCTCTGTAGCAAGGCTGCTGCTCTGGGACAGCAGAGGGCGCCCTGGCCCTTGTCCACAATTTAGCAACATGCCCCCAAAGCTTCCTGCAGAACAGCATCACATAGGCCTGCTGTTGGCCAGGCCCTCGAAGTACAGCTGTTGACCAGGCTGAGTGCCCAGGAGGAGGCTAAAAACTCATCAGCCATCACCAGGCAAACTGGTAATGTTCCCTACAGCTCCCAGTTGGGGGCATCAGAGAGGTTTCCAAAGAAGGCAGAGTCAAGATGGGGCTTTAGGGACAGCGAGACTCTGAGCCCAGAACTAGGGGTTCTCAGTAGAGTACCTGCAGCAGCAGAGGCAGAGGTGGGGACAGTAGCCAGTGCATCTTTCACCCCCCAAAATTGCTCCAAAGTCAAGCAAAAGTTTCTGAGGGTTGACCACCAGCTCAGAGCTGCTGCTGCCTTCTGTCCCTTGGACTTTAACAAGACCTCAGGAATATGGGGTCTCAGACCAAAATCCACCTCTCTTCTCAGCCCAGAAGGTCAGGACTGGACTGGCCAGGGTCTGGAACAGACCCACAGGAAGGATGGTCAGATGGGGGTGACAAGGACCCTGGCGGGCACTCTGAGCCCCTATGCTCTGGGGAGACGTAGAGCCTGGACACACGAGGTGCTCAGAGCCTGGGATGTTACATGTCATGGACATGAAGGTCCCCAGGAATGTGGCTGGAATCTTCATGGGGCCCTCGTCCTGCCCCAGCTCAGGAAGGGGCTGCCAAGTTTGGGCCTGTCCTCCACTCTTTTCCTTATTTGGACCTCCAGGTGATAAGGCTGTGACATAAAGGGGGCCTGGTGACAAGAGGGTGCAGCCAGGCCACTGCAAAGAGGATGGTGAGTGCTGGTGTCCAGGCACTGGGAGGGACAGAGTTTCTGTGCCTGCACTGGGCCCAGGGAGTGTCCCCAGGGATGGAGAGAGGACCTTCACCTGGGCTGTCCTAGGAGTTTGGGGTGGGGAGAGAAAAATTTGGGGAGCTGTGGGGGGAACCTGCCACTGTTGGTATTTCAGGCCAGCAGGAAGGCTGGGACGCGGGGCAAGGCTGCCACCAAGCAGGCCCAGCGAGGCTCTTCCAATGTCTTCTCCATGTTTGAGCAAGCCCAGATCCAGGAGTTCAAAGAAGTGAGTGCCCCCACCACAGTCCCCACTTGTCTGGGCGCCCTCTTCTCTGTTGTTCGGTGTTCCTAGTCCTGGTCCTCCAGCTCCCACCTGAAGGCCCTCTCCTCACAGGCCTTCAGCTGCATCGACCAGAACCGGGACGGTATCATCTGCAAATCGGACCTGAGGGAGACCTACTCCCAGCTAGGTGAGCACTCCTCCCTGGCCCGCCCTGCCCTGGCCAGGGACCTGCGAGGAGGACCCGCCCTCTGCCATCACTCCCCCTCTTCCTGCCTGAGCCCACCACAGTGGGGAAGCTGGGGAGGGCAGCCCAGCCCTGCTCTGGGACACCAGGGTCCCCATGCTCCTCGCCACTCCTCACAGGGAAGGTGAGCATCCCTGAGGAGGAGCTGGATGCCATGCTGCAGGAAGGGAAGGGCCCCATCAACTTCACCGTCTTCCTCACGCTCTTTGGGGAGAAGCTCAATGGTGAGCCCGGGACAGCCCTGGCCCCCTTGGCAGACAGCAGGCCTGAACCCTGCAGTAAATCCCACTGTGAGCCCCACAGGAACCCCACAAGAACCCCACACAAAACCAATAGGAGCCCTGCCTAAGCCTCACAGCAACCCCTTGAACCCTACATGAGCCCTATCTGAACCCCACGTGAAGCTTACCTGCACCCCACCAGGCCCCACTGGACCTTGTCTGGAGCCTGCCTGGCCACAGCCCACCTAGAGAACATGTGTCTACCCCTGGTCTCCCAGGGCTGTCCCCTCCCAGATCCATCTCCCAGTCAGCCTCACCCCTCCTCAGGATGACACCTGTTCCCAGCACCCCTCACACTTCTCCTGGGTCACAGACAGCTCCCCATGTATCTGGTCCTCCTGGGCAGGCCTGGGGGCTGGGACAAGCATGTTCACCTGCCTGCCTCGGCCTCCCAGGGACAGACCCTGAGGAAGCCATCCTGAGTGCCTTCCGCATGTTTGACCCCAGCGGCCAGGGGGTGGTGAACAAGGATGAGTAAGTATGATCCCCACCCCCACCCCACCACGCCAAGGCCACTTCGGGGACACAGAGGGCGGAGAGGCCACCTGGGTGGGTTGTTCTTCAGGGGTGGCCAGCCTTTCCCTGGGCCATGGACATCCTCCCTCCCCACTTCCAGGTTCAAGCAGCTTCTCCTGACCCAAGCAGACAAGTTCTCTCCTGCTGAGGTGAGGCTTTTAGGCCCCATCAGCACCTGTCCCTGGCTTTCGTGGCCCTCCCTGCAGGGCACTGGAGAGGCCTGGTGACCCGCTGTCCCATGGGCGTACAGTCAGAGGGAGAAGACTGTGTGGGCCCAGAGGGAACAGGCTGTGTTGCAAGAGGGTCCCTAAGGGGACGGCGCATCTCTGCGCCAGCCTGGGCCCTTTGACCCCTAACCCCATGTGGGCCCAGTGCCCAGTCCACACAGCGCCAGCCAACTGAGGGACATTGATCCCCAGGTTTGGGTTTGGGTTTGGGGTGGAAGAGGCTGAGGCCCAGAGCATAGCCCGAGGCAGGATGCTGGTGGCCAGGCCACATCTCCAGTGTGGGGCCTCCGCAGGTGGAGCAGCTGTTCGCCCTGACACCTGTGGATCTGACGGGCAACATCGATTACAAATCCCTGTGCTACATCATCACCCATGGAGATGAGAAAGAGGAGTAGGGCCAGGCAGCCACCTCAATAAATGCTATTGCCTATTGAGAACTGCGGTGTTGTCTTGTCTGTGACAGAGGGGAGGGGACCGACGAGGGGCCCGGGGCCCTGCACAGGCCTCCCAGCAATAGTGACCAGCAAACAACACCCCTGGATTCACACCACAGGGCCCAGCAAATATGAACCATAATCATGCCCATATTCACACCACTGAGGTCCAGAGAGCTGAGCTCTTGGGGAAGGGAGAATGGCCTGTGTACCCACCCACCCCTCAAGGCCAGGGAGACACGGCCTGGCTGCTCCAGGCTGTGCATGGTGGTGTTCAGAGGAAAAACTAGAAATGCAAGGCGCCTCGTAAGAGGGTGCTACAGTCCAGGAGTGGTGGTCCCCTGAAGTGGGAGGGTCCTCATCTGCAGAAGCCAGGGGCTGTAGGGGAAGGTGATTCCCATCATGGCACTCCAGGAGCCACAGGGACCCCCCTCAGCACCTGAAGGACAGACAGACGCAGTGACAGTAGGGCCAAAGTAACCTGAGTTGCACAGTCTGCGTGCCCTCCTCCTCCAGCCTGGCTGCAGTTCTTGTGGCTTTGGAAGTGACAAGAGGAGAACAAGAAAAGTTGGCCTTCCCAGTCCCTTGCTGAGTCCTGGATAGGAGAGGCCTTTCTGCCTGGAGAGGTGTTTAGTGTGGATTTCTAGCCGGGACTTGGCAATTTAATTGCTAAGGTAAGACTTGAGACTCGAGTACTCCTGGCAGTTTCCATGGCTCCCAAATGACCAAGGACCACGCTCTGCCTGCATTTCCATCCCAAGCAGGCAGGGAGGGGCAGGGCGAGCAGATCCAGGAGCTGTCCTGATGCTGTCACAGATCTGCTTGTTCAACAAACAGCTTTCATAAGGTCTGGGAGGCCTCTCCGGGAAGGTGTGAGATCCCAGGTGTCTGGTTATCAACCAGACATTGTCTCCTGTCATTGTTTTTGAGCGATTGCACACCTCCGCAGTCGTGGGCACCGGCAGGATCCTTCTGCACATCCCCACTGTCTGCACAGTGGACCCAGCTGCACACTGCACTGGTTCTTCATGAATTAACAAGAAATGCAATCTTTGGCAGGTGTTCACTTTATTTTGTATCTGAGCCATGCTTTTTCTTTTAAAAAAAAATCACCTTTCACACTGCTGGTATAGTGACCTGCTACACATGGTCCTGTTTGCACCAACTCAGCTGGTATTGTGTTAGTTTGGAGTAAAGTAAGGGTAGAGCATGCGCACACACGCGTGCATGTGTGTGTGCGTGTGTGTGTGTTTGGGTAGGCATTTGGGTGTAATGTGGTATGTGGTGTGTGAATAGGGCGTGTTGTGTGTGGTGTATGGTGTGTTGTGGTACAGTGGTATGGTATGTGTTTATGTGACATTTTATGTGTGGTATGTGGTATATGGTATGTGTGGATGGTATGTAGGATGTGGTGAGGTGTATGTGTGTAGTATGCTGTGTGGGGTTTTTATGTGTGTTGTGTGTGGTATGTGTATGGTGTGTTTGGCGTGTGGTGTGTGTGTGGCGTGGTGTTTATTTGTGTGGGGTGTGAGTGTGTGAGACAAGAGAGAAACAGAGGGACTGAGAGCCCCCTGGAGGACAAGACCCCCCCACACTGAGTTCCTCTGGGGCACTCAGTCCTGTAGCCCCATGTGGCTGGTATGAATTGAGTTGTGGTGTAAAATCCACACCATATTTGGGAAATTTAGGACATAAAAGAATGTAAAATATCTATTTATAACATTCATTAGTTAGTTGTTGAAATGACAATATTTGTGGCCATTTTAGGTTAAAATAGGACTAAAATTAATTTTACTTGTCTTTTTTTCATTAAGTTTATTGGTACTTTTTAGGCATATAGTACAGTTACATTCATCGTTGGGATCTTGTACCTTTGCATGATGTATCTTGATTCTAATTTTTCCCCCATTCACCTCCCCTGCTTTCACCCCCTCCACCCTTCCCTATTCACAAAGACTGTTTCCATTCTTTTCCTTTTCTCACATTTTTTCTTTTCCCTTCTTTCCTTTCCCCTACCCTTCCCACTTCCCCACTTACTTCTTTTTACTCTGAATGTGGCTTGCACTTTTGGCCTTCATCTCTCGTGGGACGGTGCTGGGTGAGGCTACTGAGCTGTCTGTTTGTGTAGTTTCCTGGGATTTTGAGTGAGTGACGGATTCAGATTTTCCAGCTCTCCCACAGAAGCCCCACGGGAAGCTAGGCTCCCTGTGGCCTCTGCTCCTCTGACCCCACCCACAGCAGGGTGTGAGCAGAGATCATGGGAATCATTTGGGGGAGCCCAGCATTTGGCTTCAGGAAGCCCAAGACCTGTGTGTTTTCCAGCTGAGGATGTTGGAGGCAGCTCCTGAGGTGAACAGTTGGGTAGAGCCCTTGGGTGGAGGGGGCTCCCTGCGGTGATGCCCTACCAGGCCTGCAGGTCTCTGCTGTGAGCCTGTGACCAGGAAGCTGGGTACCTCCTTGGTCCATTTTTGCCCTTGATGAAAGAATTCCATCAAGACACACAGGCAGCTGTGCAGACCTCTGGGTAGAATTCACTATAAATTGGGTAGAAAGAGGCCTTCATTTGAGAAGAAAGGTAGTACCACAAAGAGGAAGCCTGGGTATCATGTTCTGCACACAAGAGTTACTCCTGGGTCCAGAAACTGTGGTGATTAGGATGATTTTCAGTGTTTTACTCCAAAGTAGCTTTGGAATTGCAAAATGTTTTCCTGTCCCTTCTAGTTGCCTACTCTCTGGGGATGTAGCTCAGTGGCACCGCACCTTCCCACCTTCTTGTTGTCCAGTGTTCCCTCAGGGATTTTAATCGTGTGAGAAATTTAGCAGAGAAATTTAGGAATGATAAATTCTTCTTTCAACCCAGGTCCCAGCCCAAGGGGACAGGGCCTTTAAAGAATGTACTCTTTTGGGCTGGGGATTTAGCTCAGTGGTTTCTCCGCCAGCCTTGCAAGTGCAAGGTCCTGAGTTCAATCCCTGGTAGCAAAAAAAAAAGAATGTATCCTTTCCTGTATCATTGGGCCATAGGCTATGGCTCTGATGACACCAGGCCTGGGTCTTTGGGTCTGAGACCTAACAAACAGTTAACTGTAACTGGCACAGAGTGCTATTCCGGACTCCCCTCTGTCTCTTGAACCCGCTAATGTGGAACTGCTCCCTAACACCTGCATGGTCCAAGCCGGAGTCCCCCTCACACTGCTGGTCACAAATACCCACTGGGAAATGACACAGAAATGCAGCAAGGCTCAGAGGCCCCCCAGCCTCAGACCATGCCTGAGATCGGGGTGGCTGGGAACAGCCCTCGTGTACACTTCTTCGACTCACCACCCGCACCCGTTTTTCCTGAAGGTCCCCACATGGAGCAGCACCAAGAGACTCCATGCAAACCCATCTCTTCCCATCCTACTGCCTGTGACCCTGCTCTGAGACCCCCTCTCCCCAGCCAAGGTCTCCCCTACTCCCCCAGAAGGCCTGCTGGGGCTGGACAGACCCAAGCCTCTTGCTCTCAGGCAGTGTCTAGGGTCTCCCTTCCTGCTCTGCCCCTGCCCAGCACCCCAGCAGACCAGACAGTGGGGTCCACAGAGGGGAAAATACAAATCAAAACAAGCAAAAGTTAAAAGTTGGTCTCACAGCAGTTTTGAATAGAAGGGGCGTTCCTGACACTGAAGAGGATAGGGTGGAAGAAGGATGGAAGGGATTGAACAAGGGGTACCCAGGCACCCTTCAACAGGAGAGAAATGTTCTGGATGCTATGGCACAGTGGGGTGACCAGAGATGTGACAATGTGCCATATGTTTCAAAACTGCTGGAAGAGGGCCAGAGATTTAGCTCAGTGGTGCCGCCTCCTGCCTCGCAAGTACAAGGTCCCGAGTTCAGTCCTTGGTACAAAAAAAAAAAAACTGCTGGAAGAAGGGACATCGAATGTTTTCACAATAATAAATGACAAATGTCTGGGGAGATAGATATATTTACCCTGATTGGGACATTGTAAAGTGTACATGGCCAGGGATGGTGGTGACATCTGTGATCCCAGCACTTTGAGAGGATGAAACAGGAAGATCTCAGGTTTGAGCCTAGCTAAGGCATTTAGTGACTTATTGAAACCTTGTTTCAAAATTTTAAAAAAAAAGGGCTAGGGGTATAGCTCAGTGGGAAGGCCCTGGGTTCATCCCCAGTACCACACACAAAATATACATGTTTGGAAACATCACAGGATACTCAATGAATATGTACAATTGTTATGTGTCTGTTGCAAATAACAGAACAGAAAGCCATTTGTAGTGCTTTACACCTGTAGTATCAGCTACTACGGAGAATCTCTTGAGTCCAGGAGTTCAAGAGCAGCATGGGCAACATAAAGACCTTATCTACCAACAGTGTTTGACTTTGGACAGGGGTGCCTGGGTTTCCCTGTCTGGAAGTAGGGTTAACAGTTAGTCTATTCATACACATAATCAAATAAAAACAGTCAGGCATGGTGGTGCACGCCTGTAATCCCAGCACTAGGGAGGCCGAGGCAGGAGGATCGCTGAGTTCAAGACCAGCCTGGGCTACATAGTGAGTTCCAGGTCAGTCTCAACTACATAGTGAGACCCTGTCTCAAAAAAAAAAAAAAAAAGTCTGAATAAGTTCATTCTCCTGGGCTCAAAGAAAACAGACTTCCCCTCTTTTCTAGAGCCTTTCCTTTAGAAATTCTGTAATTGTAGGTTCTTTCTCCATCTTTTTATGTAGATCTGTTTAGAAGCCAGACAAGCCTCTTGCCAGTCTTCCAGCCCAGGAATATTTTTCCACGGAGCCTGGGTGCCCCCTTTGCTGGAAATGTCATCCCTATGGGAGACAGCGTCCTTATCTGCCGGTTTCCGGGGAGATGGGAGTCTGTCTTCAGCAGGCGCCTGGCTGCAGTTGAAAACGCACTTTCAGTCCTAAAGATAAACGTTTATTTTCTCCTTCGGATAAAGACAACTAGC